TGTTGGGGATCTTAGTGCAGCCTAGCGTTGGGGTGATGGTTGTCCGCTGGGTGGTGTCGCGTGTATGATAATACACGTGTTGCTGGCCGTGTATGACCTTTGACCAAGAGCACTCTTCCGTTTGGTCCTTTCAAGTAGTTACTGTGTTATTCCGCGTGCTAATTGATCGCTGACCTTTGATCTTGACCTCTGCGCCCCTCGAGCTCTGGTGGATTCCTTGACCCCAATAAGTTTCATTTGTCTTAGTTTTAATGAAGGCCGCACTGGAGTTGGAAAAGTAAATTATTCCACACAGAATGGGGCGCACCTGCGATTTCCAGTGCACTGGCGGGATGCGCTCATAGATCAGTGGTCACACTCAGAAAGCCTCTCCATTTGGTCACCTACCTCATTGCACGAATATTAGTCTAATGAAGTTCAGTCTAACTACTCATGTCAGTCCAATCTTAGTGTTCAAGAAGCCCACTACCCTCATAGTCATCAAAGCGGCCAAACGATGTTGAACCAAGTATAAAGGTGAAGGGTAAAATTAGTGATGAACACCTGAAGTAAGAAGGAATATTTCAGCTCGGACCACCGGAGGATTTTTACACAAATAGGACGCTACATGTGGACCCGAGAACCAAGCTAATATGATATTTCGCCGCCACCAGTGGAGCAGCGCGGTGACACTCACCCGAGCTACACGGGGATATGAAGCTTCAGTTCCGTTCCTTTGTCATACAGCAGTTGGAGGTAGCAGGCCCTGAAATAATCCGCCGGAGGAAGTGCTCATTGCCGAATCATTTAACAGACGCAAGAGAAGATTTAGCGCCGATTTCTGGACGAGGACGATCGCTGGTTGTCGCCCGCCGTATGTTAAGTACCAAGGCCCTAATGTTCCCGGCGCGAAGGATTTCTTGATGTTTTGAGCTAGAAATACAGAGATTTATGGTGGATTGCTCGATGCCCTGGGTGGTGACTGATTGGCCGTAATAGGGCCCAAAGTATAGCTCTTCTCCAGCGTTTTCGCGAACTTGAACACCTGATAGGGATGCACAGTGAATACAGGCATGCGGTCACCCGCGGCCATTCGCCACAAGGGGTCCGCTTATCACTTTGATTAAGTGTACTTAGCTGTGGTGCCCCAGTTAGCACCGGTGCAGAAATTTCTGCAGAATGTCTGCAACCGGGTGCGGACATTTCCGCACAAGTTCCGCAGATTTCTGCACCCGGGTGCGGAACCAGTGCGGAAATGAAACAAGTTTCCGCACAATATCCGCACACTTCTGCACCCGGGTGCGGAAATTTCCGCACAATATCCGCACACTTCTGCACCCGGGTGCGGAAATTTCCGCACAATATCCGCACACTTCTGCACCCGGGTGCGGAAATTTCCGCACAATATCCGCACACTTCTGCACCCGGGTGCGGAAATTTCCGCACAATATCCGCACACTTCTGCACCCGGGTGCGGAAATTTCCGCACAATATCCGCACACTTCTGCACCCGGGTGCGGAAATTTCCGCACAATATCCGCACACTTCTGCACCCGGGTGCGGAAATTTCCGCACAATATCCGCACACTTCTGCACCCGGGTGCGGAAATTTCCGCACAATATCCGCACACTTCTGCACCCGGGTGCGGAAATTTCCGCACAATATCCGCACACTTCTGCACCCGGGTGCGGAAATTTCCGCACAATATCCGCACACTTCTGCACCCGGGTGCGGAAATTTCCGCACAATATCCGCACACTTCTGCACCCGGGTGCGGAAATTTCCGCACAATATCCGCACACTTCTGCACCCGGGTGCGGAAATTTCCGCACAATATCCGCACACTTCTGCACCCGGGTGCGGAAATTTCCGCACAATATCCGCACACTTCTGCACCCGGGTGCGGAAATTTCCGCACAATATCCGCACACTTCTGCACCCGGGTGCGGAAATTTCCGCACAATATCCGCACACTTCTGCACCCGGGTGCGGAAATTTCCGCACAATATCCGCACACTTCTGCACCCGGGTGCGGAAATTTCCGCACAATATCCGCACACTTCTGCACCCGGGTGCGGAAATTTCCGCACAATATCCGCACACTTCTGCACCCGGGTGCGGACAATCCGTA